AATTTTTTTTTGTCAAAAATAATAATAAATAAGAGTGTTTACAATTATAAATGATTCTTAACGATAAGTTATAGTTAAAATTATTTTTATTGTAATTAAGATAAATTTTTATTAAGGGTCTACTTTTGATAGGGAAAACGGCCAATTCCCCCGTGAACTTCTGAGTTCCCGTTTATTCATACGTGATCTATTAAGATAGGCCAAAACCCCCATGAACTATATATAATTTTGAATTTCCCCCATCATCTATTAAAAATTGGTCAATTTACACAAAAACGGAGACGGAATCTGTTTTCCGTTAACAGGTGGTGACGTGGCTAACGGGACTTGGTTCGGTTTTGTGTTGACCAAAATCAATTGATTTTTGACTTGGTTAACAACAAAACGGCGTCGTTTTATATTTGGGGGGAAAAAAAAAATTTTGGTTTTCTTCTTCAATTTCTCGATTTGTCGAGAGGCCACAGAGAGGTAGAAAGAAAGAGAGAGGTCGCGTATAGAGAGAAATTAAAACTCATTGTGTGTCTCTATTGATCTCGATTCATAGAGTTGTTTTCCCGAGTAAATATGAGGTAAATCGAGTTTCAATTTTGTGAATTTCTGAGTTTGAGTTTGGTGGGTGAATTTTAATCTTACTTGTTACGTGTTTTGCAGTGATGACATAGATTCGCCYATTACTTTCAGTTGTTWCCACGGTGGGGAGATTGTCGTGATTGGTGGCAAAGAGATGTACGTTGGTGGTAGTCATCGGTTTATTGAAGCTCGACCATCTCAATTATTTACGGAGCTACAAAATCAGTTGCCGGTAAGTTTGTATGGTCAAAAAAATTTTTACAAGCCCCCTTTTGATGAAATTGAGGAAAGAAGAGTGTTGACAAATAGTGATGGGAGTTTTAAAAAGATGTGTGAGACTGCACATTGGACCAAGGCGATTGATATATTTGAGGTAGCTGATATTGGGAGATTTGAAAACGAGAGAGTGGAGAATGAGAGAGATGAGACAGGTATGGATGATATTGAGAGAGATGAGAACGAGAGACTGCATAACCAGAGAGATGAGACTAACCGAGTGCAGAATGAGAGATATGAGACTGAGAGAGTACAGAATGAGAGAGATAAGACTGAGAGAGTGGAGAATGCGAGAGTTGAGGATCAGTTTGCAGAGGAAGCAAGAGTAGAAAGAAATGTGGCGGATTTTATTGATGAAGAGATTGATGAGTTTGCTACACCTGTCTGCTCAGATGATGATCAAGATCATGGCAAGAGAGTTGAATATTTGACATACA